ATTAGCATTAACACGTGTATACTAAAAATATACTTATATGTTTTTGACATGATAGTAGATGTACATGTATTATAATAGCTGCAAAAGGAAATCGAGAAATCAGAGGTAAACATGTTTAGTTCACTTTATATGGTACCTAATTCAATTCCCTATCCTAGTACATGTTCGTTGTTAAATCATACCATGTTCGCCCGTCAACACCGAAGTCACCGTCGATTGATTTAGGACACTAGAAGTGTAATATACCTTTTAGAATGTGACAGGTGTTGTCCGGGGTCCTTTAAACCAAAATGAAAATGCCCTTTTACGTAATAAACTATGTCCTCTTGAAACTTAATTGGCAAATGAATAAAGAACAATTGGCTTAAAAGTCGAACCATTATGAAAGGAGCATACCGTTTTTCTACATTGTAATTTTTTTAGCTTACGATCATTCTATATTCTCTGCGGAATTCTACAGTATTTCAGGAAATGAAAGTGGAGTTGTAACTTGAATGTGGTCATTTAAGCAATAAAACCGTTGTGACTAGTTAAACTAGTGATTCTCTTCCATGATGCAAAACTAAAATAACTAAGATCATCTCCAGTTTCTACTTGACCATCCGACTATTTCGATAGCGCCCATAGATGAGGTAGGTAATAGTATCGGCAGTATCTCCTTGATGAGTGTGTCTGACAGGTGGAATGGCATTAACTGCTTGATAGCATTGATATCACAGTAAATTTAAACTGGTGAAAGAGACAAATATTTTGCAAACTCTGTGTATATATTTGCAGGAAACATCCCACAAAAGTTCGCTTTCGATACCCCGTATAGCCAAGGCCCTCTGCGGACGCCAGGGAGAGCCAACAATGCAATTGCAATGTCCAAATATGGAATTGGTGCCTGTAAGATGGTACTGTGCCAGAAGGCACGTTATCGAAAGACTATTTCGATTTTTTCGTTATCCTTAAGATGTGTTGATTCTTGGCTAATAGTAGACGTTATCAACTTAAATACTTTGCCGTAAATATGGAAAGGCTATATTATACTCACAATTTCTTAATTCAGCAGATAATGCTATATACATGTATATTTAACTGCTGAGGCGGCAACTCGAAAATAAAATAACAAAAGTATGAACTGTAACGGGAGGTTACGATACAGCTATACTATACAACATGCAAAGCTGATTTCCTCCTACGTCCTTGAATGACCTTAGCTGTAGTAGGACGTTAAACTCTAGACAACTAACTTTATTTCAACCCGAAACACACCAATCAGCTGCAGGCAGCAAGAGAATATACAAAGCAGATTTCGATCAGTCAAATTGGATCAGAAATTTAATGAGCAATCTTCAAAATTAATGTTTTCCAAGTCGTTAACATTATTATATCTTGTCAAATGCATAACTATGACGTCATAAATTGTGAATGGCGCCACAAAATGGCCTTGTCCGTTTTAAAACCTATCAAAATGTAAGTTTTCCGAGTTAAATGATAAAAAGTATCTTAAATTTGTTTTCATTTCGTATGAGCTTTTATGAAACTCGTCTCGAAGTTTTAATTTTTGCTCGCCAAGGCTCGCAAAAATAAAAACTCCTAAGACTCGTTTCATATAATCTCATATGAAATGAAAACTCATTTAAGATCATTTATATATATAAGGATATGCATAAGATATGTAGAAAAAGCTGGTCAGTTCTATTCTGTTTAAAAAAAGAAGAACCTTTGAAAAAAGCAGACGACTAAATAATATGTACGGTTGAATAACTCATTTTACATAACAGTGTGATAGTTTCGTCATTCGTGATAAGCTTGACAAGCATTTATTGAATTGAGGTAGTGGGTATTGTTAATATAATTGATGACTTTACCAAGGAACTCAAGCTGTTGCATTGAAATCTGTCTCCTGTGGTTCATAGACTGATAGCTTAATGACAAGGGAGCACACATCATTCATACGGTATGTTTAATATATAATAAAACTCAAGATTTAAAGGATCAAAAAGGATCATCAGGAGTCAAAACAATAAATACATGTTTAACTTTCAGATATTTACCAAAATAAGAGCTGGAAAGTTAGTTTTAACGATTCTGAACCATCTAGACACAAATGTCTTTATGAGACCCATTTTCATATATGAAATGTTCTATTAAAATGTCAAAATATTTCGTTTTATGTTCTGAATCTACATATGCATGCGAT